AAGATTGCATTCACAGATGTTGCGTGATGCTGGATTTCAGTGTCAGCCTTCTGTAGAAGCAAACTTCAAACTCCAGGTTTTCCAGGCACTCACCATGAATTGTAATCAACTAGAGGGCATAGGTTTGAGGTGAGAGGGGAAAGATTTAAATGGGAAGTACGGGGCTTTGGAAATCTGAAGCTCAAAGGGACTTAGGAGTCCCCAGTAAGTGTAACATGCAGGTTCCGTTGGCATTTAGAAAGGCAAATGCAACGTTTGCATTCATCTTGGGAGGGCTAGCACACAAGAACAGAGATGTACTGCTGAGGCTCTATAAGGTTCTGGCCAGGCTTCATTTGGAATATTATAAACAATATTGGGCCCTGTATCTAAGGAAGGATATGCTGGTGTTGGAATGGGTCCAGAGGAGGTTTACATGAATAATCCCAGGGTTGAAGGGCTTGTCTTATGAGGAACGATTGAGAACTCTGGCTCTGTATTTGATGGAGTTTAGAACGATGAGGGCGAGTCTGATTGAAGCTTACGGAATACTGAGAAGCCTGGATAGAATGGACGTGATGAAGATGTTTGCTCTAAGGAAAAACTTAGGACTCGAGGGCACAGCCTCAGAGCAGAGGGATGACCCTTTAGAAATGAGATGAGGAGGAATTTCTTCAGCCAAAGAGTGGTTAATCTGTGGAATTTATTGCTGCTGAAGGTTGTGGAGACCAAGCCATTGAATGTCTTTAATTCAGTGATAGATAGGTCCTTGATTGGTATGGGGATCAAGGATTTTCGGGGAGAAGGCAGGAGAATGGGCTTGAGAATCCTAACAGCCACGATTGAATGGTGGAGCAGACTCAGTAGGTGGAACGGCTGTATTCTGGTCCTATATCTTATGGTCTTATTTTTGGAGCTGGAGAGAGAAGGACCCAGAGATAGTTTAGATGCTGATGACTAATGAAGAGAGAGGGAGCAGAGACCAGGCAAAACAATGTGACAAGAAGAGAAAAATGTGACATCGCAGGAAAGCCACGGGTTGACTGGTTGTTGAGCAGCTGCTGTTGGGGACAGTGTTTCAATCAAGTAATTTTTCGAAACCAGCCCAAAGAAAGAAAGAATTTATAAGCAGAGGTGAGGGAGGTGATTTCTGAGTAAGGGTGAAGAATTTCTATTTTCTACTAATCTCCATTTTTTAGACAATTATGCAAGAGTAAGGTTAATGTAATTGAAGTGACAGTAAATAAAGTAATTTTAAAAATGTAAGTGAAGCTATGGCAGTCAGCCAAGTGGAATGCCTGTCCTGTCATATGTGGGCAGTTATGGTCACTTTCCTTAACCTAGACAAGCCCATTACAGGAAGTATCACCAGCTGCACAAGCTGGAGGTCTGGGTATCAGAGCTCCAGCAGCAGTGTGGGACATTGACATATTTTCATGAGGCAGAGAACGACGTAGGTAGCATGTTCAGAGGAGGTAACTCAATCAATAGAAAGGATTAAAATTGATAAGGAGAGGAGTTATTGGATTAGCTGTCAGTACTTAAAGTTGATAGGGCACCTGGACTGGATGAGATGCATCAAAATATCTTGAAGGACATGACAGTGGAAATTGGATAGGCACTGGCAATTATCTTTCCATCTTCACTGGATTCAGGAGTGACGCTAGAGGATTGTAAAATTGCAAACGTGTGACCTTGTTCAATAAAGGCTGTAAAGATCAGCTCAGGAATTACAGAGCAGACAGTTTAACCTTGGTGATGGGGCTACCTCTGGAAAGAATTATTTGGGGTAGAATTAATAGTCATGTGGATTGAATCACAAAAGGCAACATGGATTTGTTATGGGAAAATCAGGTCTAACTAACTTGCTGGGTTGTTGATAGAGATAACAGTGAGGTTTAATGAGGTGAAGATTGATGATGTTGTCTACATGGACTTCCAAATGATAAGATGTTTGATGCTCCAAAACAGACTTGTGAGGAATATTATAGGTCATTATAGAATAAAAGAAATCATACAATGTAGATAGAAAATTGGCTGAGTTACATGAAACAGCATAGTGGTTGTTTCTCTGGGAGAAGGAAGGTCTGCAGTGGAGATCCCTAAGAGTCAGCACTGCTTGCTTTTGCTGGTATATTATAAATGATCTAGATCTTGGTGTGCAGGAGACAACTTCAAAGTTTTCAGATAACATTGTCAATTGTGAAAACAGTGTAGAACTTCAAAAGGACATTGACATATTTGTGAATGGGTGAATAAATAGAAGATGAAGCTCAATGCAGAGACGTGTGAAGTGATGCATTTGGTGTAAAGAACATTGAGATACAATATACAATAAAGGGTACTATTCTAATGGGCGTGTAGGAGCAGAGGGTCCTGGCTGTATATCCATATAAATCATTAAAAGTGGTAAGGCAGGTAAAGAGGGCTCTTATAAAGCATGTGCTATTTAGGCCTTATTAATAGGGGTATACAACGCAAGAACAGAGTGGTTATGATGAACTTATATGAACTTAACTGAGGTTAGACCTCAGCTGGAATATTGTGTACAGTTCTAGGCACCAGATTATAGGAAGGATGTGAATGAATTGGAGAGAGTGCAGAAGAGGTTCACAGGAATATTTCCAAGGATGGGACACTTCAGTTCAGAGGAAAGATTGGAGAAGTTGGAACTGCTTTTTCCTTTGAGAGGAGAAGGCCATGAAAAGATTTAATACAAAATTTCAAAGTCATGAGGTCTCTGAGCAAAGTGGATAGAGAGACACTATTTCTACTTGTAAACAGATTGAGAACCAGAGGGCACAGTTTGCTCAAGAAGCAAGTGCGAAGCAAGAAAAACCTTTTCATACAGCAAGTAGCTAGGGTATGGTTGGAAGCTCAGTAAAGACGCGTTCAGTTGATGCCTTCAAGAATTGGATGATGATTTAAACTGAGACAGTATGCGGGGTTACAGGGAAAAGGCACTAAGTTAAATGCCCAGAGACAGTGCAGATTTGATAGGCTGACTAGTATCCTTCTGTACTGTGATCTGAAATATCAATATGTATCAAGAGAGTTTCAATGTAAATTACGATGGAGTCCAAACTAGAAATAATGATTCAAAAATAATTAAAATTTTAAGTATGCTACTATTTTATCTCACGGAGTTCCTGTAGATTGGCACACAGAGTGTTTGTGTTTTACAGCAATGAATGAAAACACCACTGACGTTATGCCAATCACATAGAATAACATAAAATTATAATCTTGTTGTAACCTTTTAAATGCGACCTAGACAGCAACAAGCATAAATTGGACTAAAGGCATGATTAAAATAAATTTAAAATACTTACTGACACCAAGATATCAAAGCTTAGGGATCAATGTTTTGTGAATGCAGAGATTCTGTTGCCGGTCTGAAAGTGGCAGGGAAAGGGTGGGTGTGGGGCAATCGGAGCTTGCTGCATTTTTCAGTTGCTCAGTAAGTTGTGTTCCCTGTTCAGGAGGACTCATTTGGAAGGCTGGTAATTCAACAGCTTCAATGGCGCCACTGCTAGTTTTGGCCATTGTTGGAACTGCACCTGGAGGATGAGGTACCAATGATGGCTTTGCACCTTCAAAGTTACGTGGGTGGGATCAGGGGTTGCTGGCCCGCCAGGCGGGCTCCACTGAAGCGTGGGAGGGCTGGTGTTGCTAAGGGCACATTCTTTGTCCACATAAGGCACACATTCCCACCACTCTTCAGCAACACTTGGCAGGGCCAGACTAACGTGAATCTGGCAACTACCCAGAATCTCAAGCTGGCTTGTTACATTCATTAAAAGACCATTTAACGCCAATGATAAGAGGCCAAATGGAATTTTCAAGTCAGTTTTTTGGCTGTCAGCACAGCCAGGAGCTAGAGTTGGCCTGTTAACATCTAAATAGGATGTGTTTGGCAGATCAAACTATAGCCACAGGCCATCCTTTCACCATGGTGGTCTTGCAACTGTGGCTATATTTAATTTCAAACATTCTTAAAGGGCTGCGTGGGTGCTTCCCTTACCCGCAACATCATGGTACAGCTCCTTTAGATTGTGAAAACCGCTTCCAATTAGTCTCACTCTCTTTCCTTCCCCCATTGCTCTGAAAATGTCTTTCCTTATTGATGATGATTCTTTTCTGATTTTGCTAATGCTATTTCTCTTTCTATACTGTAGATGAAAATTTCTACTCAGTTATTTCTTATGATTGCTTTCAGCCATTATGCAGCATTTGTAGTTTTACAAAATCCCAGATACTCTCAATTTTTCCTCACTGGGTGCCTGAGTAAGAGGACCCCACCCCAGCCTGCAGGCTGGTCAGTAGTATTCACCTGGCTGTTTGGCTGTGTGTTAAGGCTGTTTTCCCCTCTCAGTGGTAATGATGACAGTAGTTAGGTGGTGGCATTGAGAAATGCCTTTAGCCAGTCCTTAATCATGGCCTTGTCCTTCATTGGGCTGACCCCAACCTTGCCTGTCCAATCTAATGGCAGGGAGCTGGGAAGGTGATAACTTCACCGACCTGTGCTTTCCCATCAACATTAAAAATCCCCCTCCACCTTCCACCCTCCATCTTTCAGCTTACAGTTACTGTTAATTGCAGCAAAATGTAGCAGAATTACCACTAAGATAGCTGATGGTATCACATGCAGTTTCATTAAGTTGTGTGATACTCAGTGGGCAGCAGGACTTACTTTAAAATGTAGGAATGCAAGGATCTCTGACAGTTCTGTGTATAATGTTCATGCTTTACTAAACAGTTCTGGTAGTTAACACTGGCTCCACATTTATGTCTAAGCGCCCTCACAACTCATCTATGCTACTGATTTAACACAAAGACCAATGCAAATACTAATTAGGCACTGGACATGCATTAAGTACATGCATATGCAAAAGGAACACATGGAAAACACAAATTGGTGAATCTTTAGCATTTTAATGCATTACTTAAACATTGGAAAATTTATGGAAAACAAAGTTCTATTTTCTAACAAATAATATATCTATACAAATAACAGCCATATTCAGCTAACATTTCAACCTGTCATTGCAGCAAATTGTTAGTAGCCTTATTGCCACCAACTATACTTGAGTACATAGATGCTATGCAGAAATAATTGCTTAAGCAAGGCAGACAGTCTATTTGTGGAGAAAGATTTCGTCAATCAAGGGACATCTCTTCCAGTTTTTTGCTGTAGGGAAAGGAAACAAGAATTAGGTTTCAGATCACTTAACTGTAACAATAAAACAACACAGAAGCATGACTACTAGAACATTGTTGGAAATCTACAGCAGATGAATCACAATCTATAGTGAAGTTCAAATTCTGTTAATATGTATTTTTAACTCTTAAATTGAAATTTTGTAGATGCACAACAGTAAAGTATTGTTTGTTGGTTGGCTCCAGGGATATCAATGGACTAGTTTGCAGCATTTCCTGTTCTTGCTTTAGGTTTTACAATTTCTGCACTGTTTTTCTTTTTACGTAAAATGTAATTATGTTTTGTACATGCTCAAAAGCTCTCCTGCAGATATTGTTAAGAAAGTATTTGGTTGAATTGAGAACTGGTATTTGCATAGTGGATAGAACTCTTTCATCTAGTCTCAACAAATCCCAGGTCAAGAATTATATGCTTACATACAACTTAATAGTAAAGTTGCATTGTCCCAGAGGACTCTGCTCTCATTACAGAGAGTTGATTGGTGATGGGTTTTATCTGCAGATCAGCGCACGTTAGGTGAAGAGTGAGTTTGAGAAGGGCCTCTATGGTAACCTCCCACAGTATGGGAATGGAGCCTGTGTTGCAGGTGTCATTTTGCATTACAAGCCAGGCATCCTGCCAAGTGACCTCACCAATCCAACCAGATTTCTTCTGGATATGTCATACTGTCTTGACTGCTCCTCTTTACTATAAAAATGGGCCCTAATTTTAACTCACTCAAACCTATTGACTTGTACAATTAATGCAATTTTAATTATTTGTATCAGGTGCAATCACAACACAATGCTTCTGGCTGTACCATTGTTACATTTTCCATTTCCCAACTCAGTCCAGCTTGTGTGAGATTGGCAACATGATAGCAATTACACAAAAGCAAAATACTGCAGATGGAAATCTGAAATAAATAGAGAAAATGCTGGAAAACACAAATCAGGCAGCATCTGTGTAAAAAGAGACCGAGTTTTGATGCAAGGTTACCAATCTGAAACAATCGTTGTTTCTATTCACAGATGCTGCCTGACCTGTTCAGTATTCACAATATTCAATATAACATAATATTCACAATATTCACAATGTTCTCTACTTTATTCACAATATTCCATTTTATTAGTAGGAAGACCAGCAAAAGCAGGGGTAGAAAGGAGTTGTTTTACCTCTAAATGAATCTTATTTATTGCTACAGGTCTGTATTCTGTTTTCATGTTTCTATAACTAAGGCACAGTAATGCTAACACATGGGAGGTGGTGGCATTGTGGTGTTGTCACTGGATGATTTAATCTAGAATCCCAGGCTAATGCTTTGAAGGTGTGGGTTCAAATCCTACCTTGACATATTGAATTTGCTTAAAAAAAATCTGGAATTTAAAAGCACTAGTTTAATGGTGATGATGTAATTATTTTCTATTGTCTTTTGAGGGAAAGAAACAAATGATCTGGTTCACCAATGTCCTTTTAGGGAATGAAATTGGCCATCCCTCCTCAGACTGACCTACATGTGGTTGATTCTTATGTACCCTTGAAATGACCAGAGGGGCTATTAGGGATTGGCAGCAAATGCCAGCAAGAAGTAAGAATACAAAGATAAAAAGTTCAGACATTTTGTTGTCTGTTAACTTTCCTGCAGTAACCTTTGGACTTAGTTAACCAAAATTTCAAGTCTTCATAATAAAGTTTGTTTTGCTTTAGAATTGTATATATTTTCAGTGGAGAGCTCTAAAATGACACAGTGTTTGGCATACACTTTTAAATTAATGTTAACATTGGAAAATGAATTCCTGATCTGTGTAATTTATCAAAGGAATTTTTAGAAACAAATTTCACCATTATTTGGTATAATTAAGAGTTTGTGCTCTTACCTGAGCAACTTCAATGCCATTTTCACCCAAACCATGTCAGGATTTGCACATACTGCCTGCCCTCCAACAGTGTAGAATCTGTATTTACATAAGGTTTGTTAGTTCGTAGTTAATACCAAAAGTAATTATTATCAATTATTCCGTCTAATACAGCAAGGCTTTGTACTTACATAATTGCATCTATATCACAGATCTCATTGGATTGTTGTTCCACATAACCAGAAATCAGTCTAAAAGGTAACCGCTTCTTTGAATACCGGAGACAGCAGTCCACTGCAGAGGTTGCAAACAATGGCATTAGATAGAGGCATGATATTTAAAAAAAACGTAATCAATTTTGAAAGTAAGCTTAATATAAATCCTTTGTAATTATAACATTCTGCATTATATTTGCAATCATAATGAATTAAAAATTTCACCACGTTTGTGTAAAATTCAAATCAAAGTTAGATGATTTTACAACGTTTCATTTATTTTTATATCCTGTTTACTCAGAGTTTATCACTGCATTATTCTACCGTCCCGTTAAAACCAATCATTTTGCAATATATGTCTTAAAAGGTAAAGTCGCCATAGCCCTACTCCCTCATTAGAAAGACCACTGGTGATGGTTTAACCTAAGGGTCACCATGCTTCAGGTGAGAGAAGAGTTTGAGAAGGAGAGCCCTTTATGGTGCCCCAGCCAATGCGGGAGTTGAACCCACACTGTTTGCATTATTATACATAGCAAACCAGCATCTAGCTAACCACCCCTATATTGGACTATAATAAATACAATATTAGTTTTATGGTATATCTTGAGTTGCAATGAATTAATAGTTAATGCACTACTTACTCGCAGAGACTGTGTCATTGAGCATGTTCAGCACCAACAGTGAGAATAAAGCAGCCACTACGAGGTTCCTGAGAGCAGTCATTTTATCGCTGATTGCTTGAAGCAAACTTTTCTTTCACTGGTCTCTAAATGTGCCTCAGCTGAGCAGTGTTCTTGCCCTTTCTGTTATCTTATTTATAGGGAGGATTTGGAGTACAGGTAGCAAAAAGTGAATGGAAAAAATGCACAATAAAGGAAGTGAAACAGCCTCCGTATTATAAATTTCCTTTGTGTATTTTCCCCTGTAGTCATCAGAGAAACATACTTCAGCGACATCAAGTGAAAAATGTTGAAGTGAAATAAAGAAAATCAAGTGAAATTGTTACATTTTACTAAAGATTTACTAATGATTCTAAAGCTTGAATAGAACTGTTTTGAAACTGGATTTGTTGTCTGTTATAAAATTACTCCCTCATTAGGTTGGAGATTGCTGATGTCTGTGTATGGACAGCTATAAATATGTTAGTTTCTCTCTTCTGTACTTAAAAGTAAAATAATAAAAAAAAAGCTTATTTCAGAAGACAACCACAATTTTTCTAGAAATTCCAAACAAATTTAAAAAAAAAAAAATGAATTAGTACATGGGATCGAGCTTTACATTTTGGGGCAGCCAAAACCTGGAGAAACACTGCTTTTCTGTTTAATTGTTGACCCGGCGTTTGTGCTAATGACATTGAAACATTGATCATTCTGATCCCTGAGAAAATATGTGCTGATCATTTTATGTTTATTATCTGAAAGGTATAAATAATGGTTTCCTCAGGGAACAATGTAACTAAAATTCTACAAGATTCTGTAAGAATCAGGGTGGTGATATGAATTGAAAGTATGTTGATGACATGTTTTGCCCTTACAATATTAACATATTTCAAAAAGACTTGTTGAAGCTTCACTGATCAAACATGCCTGGCTCCCTGTGGTCCAGTGAATTTACTTTCATATCCATCATGCTCTGCCAGTCATATGATGCCCTCTACAAACTGTTCATTGTTTGCAATATTGTCAAATGGTATGTTTCTGGAAATCTCTTTCCCTTAGTTTTCCATCCCTAATACTGTCTTTAAAAGTATCAGTAGAGATTTAGGGTACTTGTGTGTTCATAACATGTGGGCAGTAGCCAATCATTGAAATCAACGGAAAATAAAATTTTTTGACATGTGAAATGACCAACCAATTCGCTATTCCCCATTTTGATCCATATCCTGGGTTTTCCACCAGTTCTTTCTCTGTGATCCCTAATTCAACCAACAATCTGGCATTGTTTATTACAAAGAGTCTGTATAATTGCTAGCTTATTCAATGATCTGAATTGGTTTTAAAGCATGTATATATCCAAAGTACAATGGATGACAGGAAGTACCACACCTGGCTATTTCATCTTTTAGGATTTTCTTATTCATTCACAGGATGAGGTCATCACTGGGTAGGCCAGCATTTATTGCCCATCTCTAATTGCCTGGAGGGCAGTTAAGAGTCAACTACATTGCTGTGGGTCTGGAGTCATATGTAGGCCAGACCAGGTAAGGATGGTAGTTTCCTCCCCTAAACAATATTAGTTAACCAGATTGGCTTTTCCCCCTTCACAATCAGCAATGATTCCATCATCATCATCAGACTTCTAATTCTGGCTGTTTGTTGAAATCAGCTTCCACAGCAGGATTCAAAACCAGTCCCCCAGATCATTACCTGGGTGTCTGGATTAATAATCAAGTGATAATACCAGTAGGCCATTACCTCTCCTTAGTTACAGTAAGATCTTTCTATTTGTGATGTATCATTCACTGGTCCGCTATCAAATTTCATTAAGTCGTCAAAGTTAGTTCGGGTGTGAAAATCTATTGATCTGCTATTTTTATATTTCCATTATGATAATAAAATGCCTCAAGACACTTCACAGGAACTCGATGGAATAATTTGATATCAAGCAATATAAAGTGGATATTGGCATAGATGACAGAAGTGGCCAAAGAGGGAGACTTTTTGAAGAGTTTTAAAGGATAAAAGAGATGTAGAGAAATCAAGAGGCTTAGGGAGGGGATTTCAGGCTGAGGACATAGGCAGCTGAAAATGAATAGAGAAGAAATCAGGACTACACACTATATCAGTATGGGAGAAGTGCAGTGATTCATGAGGATTGGCTGTAAAAGGTTACAGAAACAGGTAATAGTGAGGTCATGGAGAGGTTTAAACATAGGGATGAATGCCAAGAGTTTAAAATGACTTAAGTAGCATTCGGCGAGAGAACTTATTAAGGGATCTAAACTTTTAGTTTCAGAAAGCTCCACTGATTTAAGTTCAGGCCAATTCATAGTTTCTTAAACTGTTAACAAGGAAATTGTGTAAAATTTATACTGTTAAATCAAAGAAGCTCATCAAAGTATTTGAGAATATTTGGAATTTCACTATTTGGGGAAAGATAAGAATTGTCACAAGATTGATCGAATTCTCCACAAAACATTTACCTTGACACCATCTGTACTTTCCAGGGGAATTATTGCTTTCCTTGTTGCTGTTCATGCATTTTCTAAAGTACATTGTTTGAGATCAGAATTCAGGAAGTTTATTGTGATGGTTTGTAGCATTGCTTCTTTGAGCAATAAACCTTGTCCCTGCAAAAATCCCAATCGCATCCTTAATCGCCCAGGGACATTTTGTGATAACATTCATTACTTAATGACATTGAATTATGACAACTTAAGAAAAGCCTTAATGAGGACAGTCATTTCAAGAGGTAAAGCATAGTACTGTAGATTCTGGAAACCTTAAAGAAAATGCCAAAGGAGGCACTGAGAATGTCAGTCAGCACATGTGCAAAAAGACGGAGCGTTTCTATTGTAGATTAGCAACATTTCATCAGCATTTCTTTATTATCAGTTGGTAATTTAATTAAACCCATTATGAAATTAAATAATTATAGAATAAATGTTTGTACACAAGCTCTTGCACCTCCTTTGGAGATGGTGACCCAAATAAACTAATGTAACACTTCAGTTTAAAAAGAGAGAGAGGCGCAAGGCAGGAAACTATAGATGAGTTAGCCTGTCCTCGGTCATTGGTAAGATTTTAGAGCCTATTATTAACGAGGAGATTGTGGAGTACTTGGAAGTGCTTGGTACAATAAAGCTGAGTCAGCATGGCATTGTCACGGGGAGGTCATGCCTGACAAATCTGTTAGAATTCTTTGAGGACATAACAAGCAAGTTAGACAAAGGACAGCCAGGGGATGTGATCTATTTGGATTTCCAGAAGGCTTTTGTCAAGGTGTCGCACAGGAAGCTGCTAAATAAGATAAGAGCCCATGGTGTTAGGGGCTAGGTACAGGTATGGATAGAGATTGGCTGACTGGCAGAAGGCAGAGTATGGAGATAAAGGGGTCTTTTTCAGGACGGCAGCTGGTGACTAGTGGAGTTCTGCAGAGGTAAGCGTTGGGACCACAACTATTCATGTTATACATTAACGATCTGGACGAAGGAACTGAGGGAATTGTTACTAAGTTTGCAGATGACATAAGGATAAGTGGAGGGACTGGTTGTGCTGTGGAAGTGACGTAGCTGCAGAAGGACTTGGACAGGCGAGGAGAGTGGGCAAAGAAATGGCAGATGGAATATAATGTAGGAAAGTGTGACGTTGTGCACTTAGGTAGGAAGAATAGAGGCATAGACTATTTTCTAAATGGAGAATTCCTTCAGAAATCTGAAGTATAAAGTGACTTAGGAGTCCTAGTTCATGATTCTGTTAATGTTAACATGCAGGTTCAGTTGGTAGTTAGGAAAGCAAATGCCAAGTTAGCATTCATTTCAAGAGGGCTGGAATATGAGCCAAAACGTGTACTGCTGAGGCTGTCTAAGGCTCTAGTCAGGTTGCATATGGAATGTGAGCAGTTTTAGATCCCATATCAATGGAAGGGTGTGCTAGCATTGGATGGTACCAGAGAAGGTTTACAAGAATGATCTTGGGGATGAAGGGCTTGTCATATGTGGAGCGGTTAAGGATTCTGGCTCTGTACTTGATGGAGTTTAGAAGGATGAGATTGAATGATGACAATGATTGAAACTTACAGAATACTAAGAGGCCTGGATAGAATGGATGTTATGAATATGTTTCCACTAGTAGGAGAGACAAGGACCCAAGTGCACAGCCTCAGAGTAAAGAGAACAGAGATGAAGAGAAATTCTTTCAGCCAGAGAGTGAATCTGTGGAACTCTGCTGCAGAAGGTTGTGGAGGCCAAGTCATTGAGTGTATTGAAGACAGAGGTGGGTAGGTTTTCGATGAGTAAGGGGATCAAGGATTTTAGGGGGAAGGCAGCAGAATGGGGTTGAGAAACATAGCCATGATCGAACGGTGGGAGCAGACTCGATGGGCTGAATGGCCTAATTCTGCTCCTATGTCTTGTGGTCTTAAAACAGTAATTGTGCTGACTGTTTATAATGAAAACAATGATCACAAGTAATACAAGCAAAGAATAATTGAATGAAAATTAGAAAACAAAGAATAAACAAGGGCATATGGAGAAGACAGGAAAGTGGGACTGGGTGAACAGCTCCTTCACAACAACAGCACAGGCACAGTGCTCCAACTGGGCTCCTGTGCTCTAACCAGTTGGTAAAGACAGCCTTGCCAGCTTTTCTGAACTTGGTTGTAGGTAATTCTTGTTTTGGTGCTCAAGCAAGTTGGAAGAAACATTCACTTCAAAAATAAACTTAAGCCCTTCCTGCTAACCTGGTAGAGCAGGTTTTAGAAACAATGTGGTTGTGTCATATTTTACATATCATGGGAAAGTTTGGGAAATGTATTTTTTACTGGCTTGTTTTCTTCCACATCATCTGTGATTGTGTAATGCTCACACTGACGAAGACACAAACTGCAGTTTGATTGAAATATTTAATTCAATGAAATGTTGAAATATAATCATTAAAAATTATTAGCATTTTCATGTTTGTGATATAGATACCATAAGGAGATAACTGCGTGGATGCATTAGTATTTACATGAATAGTTCATCGAGCCCCTTGAGCCTGATTCACCATGAATTCGATAATTGCCGATATGTTTCTGAACTCTGCCATCATAATTAAGAGAGGTTTGCATTTTTTAGAGTGGAGCCTGGA